GCCCCTTCCCCTGGCCAGCCATGGCCCCTCCCCCCAGCCGGCCCCGCCCATGAGATCGGCCCCTCTGGGTGAGCTGGCTGGACCCCACCCATGCATGAATTTGTGCACCAGGCCTCTAGTTTATATTTATAAAAATGCCTTTGGTTTCCAAAAGCATTTAATTTCTTAATCTTAGATATATGACAATATCATCATCATCATCATCACCATCATCTTTTTCTTTTGAACAGCTAAGAAAATAGCTTCAAAGGAGATTAAGTCATTTCTTCCAGGCTTCAACGTGATACTGACTTGCAAGTGTCAGAGTAAAAATTAGAAGCCTGGTATCTCTAATTCCACATTTCCCCCTTTATTTTTACTCTGTGTTTCTGAAATTTAACACTAGTCATTTGCTAATAAATATACTTCCAAATGTCATTGTTAGGTATCATGCACTTTTAGATGGTTCCAAAAAACTGGACATTTCTCTTCTTTCAATAAAAGCTTCCCAGCCTATCAGTAATGTTAGCTGGGTAGCTGAACCTACTTGGCATTGCTGAATACCAAAAAGATTGATTCCCAAGCTAATAGTATTTAAGATGCAATCACTTTCAATGGAAGTCATTCAAAACGGACATAAATTAAACTTCTAAAATTTCAGGGAAGTGATGTTAATGGACAAGTTATACATGAAAATATATATATTAGTTGATGGTCATGTACTGGCCAATTTTACAATCACTTTAAATAATTTAAAAATTGAGACAAAGCATTTGCCATTCATCTTTCCTCTCTTAACCCAAAAATATAGTAACCTATATATATTCTACTTTTTTCTGTATCTGCCCTATTCTTTCTTTTCTGATAAGATAGTCACTTCAATTTCTGCCTCTTAAATCTTCACATGTATCAAGAAGTTATTTTTCTTGATTATATTATTCAAGATCAGCTGGCATTTTAATGTCCTCTGAAGGCTCAAGGAAATTTCCTTCCCATCTCTTCTAGGATTACAATTTTAGCCTCATTTTCAAGCAAACACACCTCTACTACTGTAAAGTGACAAAACTACTGCTTCCCACCACCCAGTGCTCTGCAGAAGTGATGCCCATGGCGTCTCTCTTGCTTACCTGTCGGCCATACGCTTGCAGGATTAGAGATTGGTCACTGAACAAATCAGATGGTTTCACAGTAGTTACTGGAACATGTTCAGGTTGTTTGAATCCTTCCTGTAATTATATTAAGTTATTCCCCCAAAGGGGTAATTAATTAACATAAACTTACAGTTAAGGAGTCATAATAGCAGGTGAAAAAACATTGTGTGGTGAGCACCACACCTGAGGTTTCATCAAGTCAATATCACTAATGTGACATAATCTTTATTTTTCTTTCATATTAATATAAAAATATTAAAAAATAATATTGCTTTCATCTATAATAAAAGCGTAATATGCTAATTAGACCAGACAGCCGAACAATCTTCTGGACATCATTCTGGACGTCCTTCTGGACCACCTTCTGGATGAAGCTGTGGCAGCAGGGCCGAGGCAAAGGCTGCTCCCCATCGGGTAAGGGCAGAGGCAGTTAGGGGCGATCAGGCAGGCAGGTGAGTGCTTAGGAGCCAGCCGTCTCAGATTGCAAGAGGGATGTCCAACTGCCGGGTTAGGCCCGATCCTGATTG